ACACACACACACACACACACACACACACACACACACACTCTCTCTGTCTCTCTTTCTCTCTAAAACACAAATACATTTTTACATACACACAAACAATATGTGTTGTTACTGGCAATTTCTGTCGGAATTGCATAGAAATAATCTATAGATCTATGGCACACAGAGCCATACCACACTTGGGTAAAAAGGCGTATCACCAATACTGATGCAAAGTTCGTGTCCGAGACAAATCAGTGCGCTTGTCGAGTATACCTGTGTAACATACCGTCGCCAATGGTTACAAAAATAAAAGCCAAACCTGATCTGCCATCTGCCGGACATCCAGTTCCACACAGCGAAGGTTTACCAATCCCTGTAGTTCTAGAGGAAATTACTGAAGTGAAAGAATGTGAAAGAGATTTCAACCAGGAACAGACTGAAACTGACCCTAACGTTCAGTCATCGATTCTTGCTAGAATATCCAAGATTACACCCCCCCCCCCCCACACACACACAAAAATAAAAATAAAAATAAATGAATTGAATGACCTCAGACACAGAGAGCTGCACAAAGACAAAGCTCAATTGTCAGGCTCAAAGATCCAGCAATGGAACGTGCTTGCTGTTGGTGTGAGAGGTAGCACATCCAGAAATGCAAATTGTGACTAGGATTGTCCACCGTTTTCCCTTCTTTTTTGTAATTGAAGGGCAACCTGGTTGCATCTAAGGATGTGGGTGGTCTTATAAAGTGTTGCTGTCACCGAGGATCATTTGGCGCGGGTTGAAGGGGGGGGGGGGTATCCAAGACTTGCAGACATTATGTAAAAGCAACATCAGGACAAATGGAGCCCAAATGTTAGACGATTAGTCAGTCAATTACAAATTGTGCACCAGAACTTGAATACAAAAGGCGAACCAAGAAGCAACGAGTCAAATAAGTGTGGAGCAATAAGTGTCAATTTTTAAGTTCTCATTAATTCTTTGTAAATGATGCAACCCCGAATACTATGAAAATTAGACGTAAATGTTAAATATCACTATTATGTTCGTGTTCAGCGACCCAAAATACGTATTAAAAAGGGATGTTTGAGCCAGGAAACTGAACGTATAAAAAAATAATATGTAGACCAGTGTAATGCAGGTAACTGAGGGCAGAGTAGCAAAGATTGGCAAGGTTAATTTTATGTTGTTTGTTTCTTTTATTTCAACATTATATGATAGTTTCGATTTCCAAGATGGATGGCCTTTTCGTATAATATGAGCCTGCATGTGTCAATGTGTGTGTGTGTGTGTGTGTGTGTGTGTGTGAGTGTGAGTGTGTGTGCTTGTGTGTGTGTGTGTGTGTGTGTGTGTGTATGTGTGTGTGTAAGTATGTATGTGTGTGCATTTATGTATGTGTGTTCGTGGGTCGGAGTGAGTGCCTTTTTGTATGAGTATGTGTACACTTAATGTTCTATATTTCTCTTTTCAGTTTTGTCCATTTTACTTCCTCTATGGAGAGAAAAAAAAACCCAAACAACAACAACAACAACAACCCCAACTTGTTATTATGTTTCCCTTTCACAAATTTGACAACCGCTTCTCTCATAAAAACGGCCAACTCGAATGATCTATACTCCCCACCTCCCTTCTTTTTTTTTACCTCGTGCTAAAGATAGGACTCGGCATTGCTCCGACATTTCATTTATTTCCCATCTCTCCCCAAAACAGCGGTCCCGGGAGAAGGCTGGCTCGTTGGAGATTCCCTCCTGCATTATCTCGGGAAACTGGTAAACCCGCGCTCGTAGATTTCTCGGAGGATTTGTTTTTGTTCCCTCTACAGGCATCCCCTCATTCAGACCGGCGGCAAACTCCACCAGGGTCATCCCTTGGTCCGCACAACCGACGTACTAAGTCCTTGTCCCCATCCCTCTATCCCTTTCTGTTTTCTTCTTCTTTCTCTCCGGGAGGAAGAACCTTTGCTTTCTTCTCGTCCTTTTTTTTTTTTGGCCGCTCTCGTCATTAATCGTGTCTCTTCTCTTCGTGCTTTCAGTAGCTCGCTCACACGTTAACCCTTTGTCTTCTAGTATCCCTCCCCTCCTCACAATCTTTTTTTCTTATTTATCCTTTATCCTTCCCTGGTCTCCAGTCCCCCCCCTCCCCCTTACAGTTAGCCTCCGCCCTCTCTCTCTATCCAATTATCTCTCTCGTTCCCTTTCTCCCTCTCTTTTAACCACCCTGTTCCGCTTTATCATTTTTTCTTATCCCACCCTCTCTATGCTCTTTCTCTCTCTTTCTCTCTCTTTCTTTCTCTCTCTCTCTCTCTCTCTCTTTCTCTCTCTCTCTTTCTCTCTCTCCCTCCACCTCTCTCTGTTTCTCTCTCTTTCTCTTTAACATTCTAACATTCCCTCACTCTCTATTTCTCCTCTCTCTCTCTCTCT